CTGACCAAGTTTGGGTATGGGTCTTAGCCTTTGCGTCAATACATCAAACAGTAGAGTCTTTCAGAGGCCTCTGTGGTAGGCTCCTGTCCTGTTCCCTGTCTTCTTCTGCTTCCAATGTCCATCACATTTGCCCTTCTGAATGAGGATTGAGCATCTTCCCTAAAGTCTTCCTTGTTGTTTAACTTGATTAGGACTATATATTTTAGTATGTCTATCCTATAATATATGTCTAATAACCACTTATGAGTAAATATATATCATGTGTGTCTTTCTAGTTCTGGATTACCTCACTCAGTATCATCTTTCCTAGCTCCCAACATTTGCCTGCAAATTTCATGAATTCCTTGTTTTTATTTCCTGAGTAGTATTCCATTGTGTAAATTACCACAATTCTGTACCCATTCTTCAGTTGACGGACATCTAGGTTATTTCCAGATTCTGGCTATTGTGAATAAAGCTGCTATGAACATAGTTGAGCACATGTCCTTGTTTTATGGTTGAGCATCTTTCAGATATATGTCTAGGAGTGGAATACTTGAATCTTGAGGCAACAATATCCTCATTTTCTAAGAAAGTGCCAGATTGATTTCCAAAGTGGTTGTACAAGTTTACATTCCCACCAGCAGTGGAGGAGGGTTCCCCTTTCTCCAAAACCTCTCCAGCATGTGTTCTCAGTTGAGTTTTTGATATTAGCCATTCTGATGGGTGTGAAGTGGAATCTCAGGGTTGTTTTGATTTGCATTTTTTGGATGACTTAGGACGCTGAGCATTTTTTAAAGTGTTTCTTTGCCAGTTGATATTCCTCTGTTAAGAATTCTCTGTTTAGCTCTGTTCCCCATTTTTAATTAGATTACTTAGTTTGTTGTTATCTAACTTCTTGAGTTCTTTATATATTCTGGATATTAGCCCTCTGTCAGATATAGGGTTGGTGAAGATCCTTTCCCAGTCTGTAGGCTGTCGTTTTGTCTTGACGACATTGTCCTTGCTTTACAGAAACTTTTTAGTTTCATGAGGTCTCATTTATTGATTGTTGCTCTTAGAGCCTGTGCTGTTGGTGTTCTGTTCAGGAAGTTGTCTCCTGTGCCCATGAGGTCAAGGATCTTCCCAATAATATAAGATAAACATACTAAAATCTATGCCCAAATTTAAATGAAGAGATACAGAGGGACGCTTTATTCTGACCAAAGGAACAATAAACCAAGAAGACATTGCAATCCCAAGCACATATACAGCGAACTCTGATGCATCCAATCTCATAAAAAGCATAATAGCAACATGAAGACACAGATCCACTCCACCCAGTGTTAATGATAATTTTAATGCCCACAGTCTCTATAGACAGGTCACCTGGACAAATAAACAAAGAAACATCAGCAATAGTTGACCTCATTCACTGAACAACCCTGAACTTGCAACAAGTTAAAAATGTTCCTTCAATGGTGGGGCATTTTTTGGATATATGCCTAGGACTGATATAGCTAGATCTTGAGGTAGCACTATTCCTATACCCAAAAGATGCCCCACCATTCAATAAGAACATTTGCTCAACCATGATCATAGCAGCTTTATTTGTAATAGCCAGAATCTGGAAACAGAGGAATGGATACAGAAGTTGTTGTACATTTACACAATTGAATACTACTCAGTAATTAAAAGCAAGGAATTCATGAAATTTGCAGGCAAATGTTGGGAACTAGGAAAGATGATACTGAGTGAGGTAAACCAGAAGCAGAAAGACACACATGGTATATACTCACTCATAAATGGATATTAGATATATAATATAGGATAAATATACTAACACCTATGGTCCTAAAGAAGCTAAACAACAAGGATGTTGCTAGAGAAGAGGCTGAAACCTCACTAAGAATGGCAAACAGGATAGACATCGGAAGTAGGAGAAATCAAGGAACAGGACAGGAGCCTTCCACAGGGGGCCTCTGAAAGATTCTACCCATCAGGGTATAGAAGGAAATACTGAGACTCATAGCCAATCTTTGGGCAAAGTGCAGAAAACCTTATGGAAGAAAAGGGAGATAGAAAGACCTTGAGGGAACAGGAACTCCACAAACAGACCAAAAGAGCCAAAAAACCCTGAGCCAATGGGGCCTTGCAGAGACTCCAACCAATAACCATGCATGGAGAGGACCTAGAACCCCTGTTCAGAGGAAGCCCATAGGCTGCTCAGTTTCCCTAGTAAGAGGTACAGGAGCTGACCTAAACTCAGTGGCTGGTCTTTGAGCACCTCCCCCTGGGAGGGCAGCCTTACCAGGCCACAGAGGAGGAGAATGTAGCCAGCCTTGACGAGACCTGATAGGATAGGGTCAGATAGAAGGGGAGGAGGTTCTCCTCTATCAGTGGACTAGGGAAGGGGCATAGGGAGAGAAGAGGGAAGGTGTGTGGGATGGGGAGAAGAAGAGGAAAAGGGCTACAGCTGGGATACACAGTAAATAAACTGTAATGAATAAATAAATTAATTTTTTAAAAAAGAAATATGGGTTCTTCCCTCTCGTGTCAGAAGCCTTCTATAATTACCTAGTCCTTTTTCTGTGTCTCTGTAAGGTTCTATGCAAATCTATTTTATCATAAATCTCCATCTCATATTATTCCTACATTTATTTTCCAAGATTAGTAATACATAATTGCAATATATACTGCACAGACACACACACACACACACACACACAATTGGCCTTCATTTTGAAGGGGCTACCCCCATTGTGGAACACATAGTTGTGGCATGATTAAAATTTATAGTTTCATGGAAAATAGGGAGCCAGGTTTTTTTTTTTCTTTGCCAATTAAAACAAGTGACAACTAAGTGTGTTTCTAAGTCTGAAAGAATTTAACTGTTAATGCAACCTTGTGACACCTTTTCTGATTTTCACAGGCCAGAGTGCTAGACTGGTTCAAAGGGAAAATTTCAGCAAATCAACAAGGGGTTCTGCTTTGGGTCCCGTGTGAGCGTGCACTTGTGTGTTTGAAGCTGACTGCATTCTGCCATGGAGGCTTCTAAAGCAACAGTTTCCCCATTTGCCCTCTGAGCTGCAAAACCAGCTCTCAGCAGGAAAAGAAAAATCGCTACTTACCCTTGAAAAGTGTCTCCCCTATGTGTGAAAGCACTGAGGTGAAAATGTCAAAATTTTCACTTTTTTTTTGAGCCTGTGAAATCTAAAGGGAACTGAGATTTGCCCATGACCCAGATTGGAGTGATGGGTGCTTCTCCTGACCATCGGAAGACATCCTGCTGTGCTTTCATTTTATTTTTAAAAGGCAAAACATTAAAGATGTTCTTTCATTTAAGATATAAAATTGTTATCATTTCCTTTATATAGGAAAAGAAAATTCTGAAGCTAAAGCATCAGTTAGAAAAAGCAAATCTTATGTCATGCCACCTTACATCTTAGAGTATCTTAAATCCAATTTCTTTGTTTAACTTCCGAGAAAATAATAAGACTCTAAACACAGGTATTCTGGTTTAGGTTTTTAGTTTTTATTCTGCTAATAATTTGCCTACATAACCAAGTCATGTTATTTTGTAACTTAGTCAAGTTCAAGAGCCATTTACTCATTCATTTAACCAAACAGGTGCCTGCTGCTACTTGTTCTATTTAATGTGTAATTTTTAATGTCATTTCTGGGGCATTCCCAACACTCATCACTCATGGTCACCAAAGCACCACCCAGGCACAGGCCAGTCACTTTTTGGCAATGACAAGCTGCACACATTGGCCAGTGCCACCACAAGCCAACGTTTCAATCCCATCAACCCTTAGTGGGTGGTATCCGATCCAAATTTTATGGAATTTTAAAAATGCAAGATCGTTACCTGTCATGTGATTCAAAGAGATACTTGACTAGATAATAAGTGGTTTCCCAAATCTGAGATTTATGTAGATTAAAAATAGTCCTAAAAATAAACTTAGTATAACAAGCCACAGAAAGTGGAACTAACCAGCATCTTATCAAATGAAAATAAACTGAGTGGAAGTTTAAATTTTTAGAGGCTAAAATCTAAATAATTTAATACTGTCTAGTAAAACAATGTTGACTTTTTCCCTTACTGAATTTTTTTCATTTTGAAGAAAATGAGTATATAAAACCTGAAGTAGCTCTTGACTTTCCAAGCTGTGCCACACACACACACACACACACACACACACACACACACACCAGCACACATTCACAGCATGACCTTCTTCAAAGTCAAGTGACTGGAGTTCTTGTTAAGCCTCTCCTATAATCTCCGAGGTTACCCTGAGATGCATCAGAATTAATGTTTCTTGGTTTATCATGGGAAGCATACTAATTTTTATTGTTCACAGAGAGCAGGTCTTATTTTAAATTCACTTTTCCAAATTTTTTCTTATTCTATATGCAGCTGTTTTAAACATATCTTGATAATATCCAAGTAAAACCCAATCATACATATTGGAGAATAAACATATTTTCCTGAGGCCTATTTTGTATATGAATAAACAGCCTAAGCAAATGTTGTGATCTGTTCAGTATTATGTCTTACCATTAGGAAGTTTTAAAATAGAAAAATACACCCTGCTAATAACTATAAGAGCTATCCCTGAATTTGAAGTAAATAGATGGTGCATTACAAATGTATCCTAAAAGATATTTACTTTTAGCGCTGGAACTAATTCTAACATATAGAACTCAATTGAAAACATTCTGCCTCTGAAGATATTGATATTTATCCTTTGAAAAGGATAAATAAACAAACAAACAAACAAACAAATAAATTTACCAACTTTCATGGTCAAAATCAGAAGAGAAACAAATATTTGGGTATTTCTAAATTATGTGCCTTAGCACAGCATATTTACTGCAATGAATCAGCAGCATAACTGGGGAAGGAAATAGACTGAAATAATACTACACCTGGAAACCAACAGCTGTCGTCAGGATTTAGTATCTTGTCCAACTGAACTCACTAATGGGAAAAACTAAAAACCGCAGTAAGCTGACTGAAGAAATAGAAACACTGGCCTGCCCCTAGAGTCATTGCGGGTGTGGCTGCTGGGTCCCACGCCATGGAGAGGTGGCAGAGAGGAGAAAAGCTGTCTACCCTCAGTGTTCTGACCTGTGAGCATCTGGGTGATCAGTAGTGTAACATTCTCTGAAGAAAAGCAAGCCGGAGACAGCTACCGGCCTGGCGCCAGAGGGCCCAGACAGAGAGGTAGCCTGAGGCGACCGCCAGTCCAGAGCCACACAGGCCGGGGGTGGGAGCAGGCTATGCTCAAGATGACTCCTGTCCAGCGCCAGAATGCACAAACGTGGCTTAGCACACCTGAGGTCACGCCTGAGATGACCCCAGACCCTCAGAGACCCCAGGTGCCACTAAGAGGAGCAAGTAAGTGGTGGAGAAATGGAAGAGAAAGAGAAACAGAAGAATTTGGGCACAATGAAGAAAGGCAGGACAGGAGACTAGAGGGCAGTGAGGAGCAGCCTAATATGAGTAGTTGCTGATGGGGTCCCGACCTGTACTGTCACCTTGGGGCCATGTCTGGGGCCATGGTCCTGCAACAGCAGGGGTCTGTTGCTACCAAAGGCCAGGGAGTCTGTCCTGGCCTGGACTGTCAACCCCAGGACATGTTAATGTCTGAGGGCTGTGCAGAGCTGGCCCCTCCCTAAACCTGGGCATCATGGGAGAACTGGCCTTGTAAGCATGGCAGCATGAGAACTGACCACACCTCTAGCTAGCTGCAGTACTCAGGAGAGTAGGCCCCGAACACTGCAGAAATTTCAGGTGAGCCAGCATCTTCAAGGATACAAGGGTGAGAGGCCTGGCCCCACCACTTTTCTCCTGTGAGTTGGCATTGACCAAGGAGAGATGCCCTGCTCCCCACTTGCCCCTCACCACCTGCGCCAGGCAGAAGACCCGGCCGTGGGGTCGTGAAAGCAGGAGAGCTGTCTGTGTTCCTCACCAGCTGTTGTACTCACGCAGGGCAGAACAGTAGAGCTGGTCCTGGATTGGGGGTTATGCGCAAGTCAGCCCCAAGGGTATGCGCAATAGAGAGCTGGCCCTGCCTCTTATCTGTTGTTACAGATGAGGGAGAGATGTTCTCCTCCCCTTTCTCCTCCCTTATCATCTGTGGCGGGAGAGCTGGCTCCAGAGTCATGAGAGTTGGAGAACTCACCGTGTACCTGACCAGCTCTAACACTCGAGAGAGTGGGCCCTGCACCTTGCCTGGGGAGCAGGATAGAACTAGCCCTGATTGAGTAGGAGAACCAACAGCCTGACCGACTCAGATACCTGTTAGGCAAAAATCCAGGGCTTGAATTTGCCTACCCCAACATCTACCCCACTGATGACCTGCTGGAGTGCATGACAGGGTCCTCCTACAGATTCAAAACTGCAAAATCTCCACGACACAGAGCAACAACAGAATATCCTAAAGGAGTTCTAGGGAGGTTCCAGTATTGATAGAGTAGCAGAAACCAGACAATTGGGTCGTCGTTGCAATGAGGACAAAACAGTTACTGTAGAGCACACTGTGACACACTACAGCTTCCACAATGAGATTTTTTTTTTCTCTGTGGGGAGAGGTTGCAAGGGTGAAGAGCAGGTATGAGGGGAGGGGGAAATGAGTGGGATTAGGGTGCATGATGTGAAATTCACAAAAAACAATGAAAACTTTAAAAAAGAAAGAGAAACATTGGAAATGTGTGTATGTATTTTTAGTAAAGAAGACACACATATCCTCAAATATAACAGTTTTTCTGTATTCCTTTGTCCACAGACAAACCAGTAGGAGACTAAGCATGCTCTGCACTGGAGGAGCCACCACCAGAGACAGGTCTTGCCTTTTCAGCGACACCAGCATGTCTTTCTCAAGTGCTCGTTCTGGGATGGACATGTTTACAAATGACATGTTTGCATGCTTTCTTAATATATCACTACTCTAAAGGGTTCATAATTATTTTTTCATTGCAATAATGGTAAAATAGAGAGCTAATGCTACATGGTCATGAGGCTCAACAGTGACCTAGAGAAGTTCAGATCCGTAAACTCTGGGTCCAGGGTGTCCAGCTTTACCTCCAGATAAGCTCATTTCTAAAAGTCACATTAAATTAACATAAAAAATAACATTTCCAGAGATTCAGTAGGATTAAGAAGACTTTGTGGACAGTGTAGAATACATACACACTCGCAGAGAAATTGATGGAAATGTCAATTTGTGCAGCCCCAGTGTTAGGCTATGTGGGTTCAGATTAAAATTTGCAATCATAGATTATAGCTGTTTTTTTCCTGGATCAAATGAGTTTTTAGCCAGCATAATCACAGGCTGCCACACTGTGTAGTTTACATAAATAAAGGTTTCTGTCAAAGTCTCCTGACAGTATGGACTGGATGACAGTTTCCAACTTCACATTGATGGCGTCTTCATACCTTGTATGAAATATTAGAGGAATTCAAGCTTAAAAATTACTTTAAGAAATGAAATGGAAAGTAATGAAACATTTTAATATAGACTCAGAGGAACAATGGCATTACATTTTCTGGAAGCAACATGTCTAGCAACCAGCATGTGTCCAAGACATTAACTACAGAGGCTCAGGAACACTTACGCGGGAAGAAGAAAGACTGCTCCTTCTCTATTCTTTAAGGCGGCTCTCCTGCAGAGTTTGTTCATTCATCTTCTAGAAATGTCATACCAAACAATTTTCTATTTGCTAAATACTCTTTTGCCATGAAAAGCTGTTGTATGCCTTTGGGAAGTCCTTCTTGTTAGAAACTCCTATTCTATTCATTCTTCAAGATATGGCATGCCACCTTCTGAGGCAGTACTATCCCAATTTCTCTTTCACATGAAGCTTGTAATTATTATCTAACTGGAAATTTTGCTTTAAACATTTATCAGTTGCTGAAAAAGTAGTAAAGTAGTTCAAATAGAAAATAAACACTTTGTTTATTTATTTTCTAATAACTATTCTGCACATAACATCTTTGTTTCATTTTTTTAAGAATTTTAAGAATGTTTTAAGTTTTTTGATGTGCATTTTTATGCACATGAACATTTCAGCATATATATATATATGAAGATTTATATTATTATATATGAAGATATATGTATATATTTATATTCCTATTTTGGCAAAGTATTTTGGCCTTTGAAAAAGAAATAACTTCAATGATTAATTTGGTTTCTTGTCTTTTCTTACTCAGATTTTATTTGTTATTTCTGTATTTAGTTCTTTGGAATGTTTATCACATATATTGGCCTTATTCTACTCATTCTTCTGATAGTATTTCAATACAATTATGAAAACAAGAAGCTGTGAGAAAATGTCCATTGCTTTCATAAAAAAATATTTTCGTGTCTTTTTGCTTCACATTTCAGTCATCCAACTAAGTATACTAAGTTTTTGTAAAATCATTTCTTCTCTAGGTTCTTATATACATTTAAAATACAGCTATATTATTAATGTTTATAGAAATTCGGTGTTTTGAGGAATGCAGGTAGGTGGTCTTCATACTTTCACTCTCCCTCCTCTTCTTCAAATCAAATCCTCCAGCCTCATCCCCAGCTCCATAGAAGACCAACTGTTGTGACCTCCTTCTCCTCAGATCATGTAGCTCTTCCCCTGCAGCCTTCCTCCATCACCCTGTTCATCTTTGTAACAGATAGGGAAGGGTTACGGGGAGGTGATTTCAGATTTCCATTCCTCCTCTTCTCTAAATCCAACCTGGAAGTCTCATCTCCAGCTCTGTAGCAGACTACAACTGTACCCTCTCTTCCCTATCTGCCCCCATTCTGATGGGACTAAGAAATCCTACTAGTTCACCACTCTGTCCTCCCTCCTGTGGAACCCTTCATCCCTGTCACCAAAGCTGATCTCCATCCCTACATGCAGGTCCCAGTACCAAGGAACACATTCCAGCGAGACTCCCCAGTGGCTGCACTTAGCAGGATCTTGGGCACGCTCTCTACTGGGCAGCCACATTGACCACTCTTTCCCAATAGCACCCAGGACAACACAGCCCTACCACAGAAGGCCTGTGAGGTGCCTACAACAGGGATGTAACCTCACAGTGTTTGTGTTTCTTTGTGTGCCTTTTATTTAACTTAACACATTTCAAAAATAAAAAAAAAAGTTACTATTTTGGTTTTGGGTTTATTTATTTATTTATTTATTTATCTATTTATTTATTTATCTATTTATTTATTTATTTATTTTGAAACAATGTTTCACTACATAGTCTTAGTGGCCTAGAACTCTCTATGTAGCCCAGGTTGGTCTTGAACTCACAGTGCTCTACCTGCCTCTGCCTCTGGGATGGTTGTCAAAAAAATTCAGCATCTTTATAAAAAGAATCACATTTTATTTTTTCTCTATTTAGTATTATATTTAAGTAATAAAATAACAAAGCCCAAAATATTCAGGGACCTTTTCTACCTATGTATGTGTTCTTTATCGGTGAAATTTTAGTGTCTATATTTTTGACAATAAATGCAGGATTGGTTGGTATTTATTCAATGATGGTCTTAAAGCACTCCCATCTTTCAGCATTGATGGGTGTAAGTGAGTCTAGAATATTGTAAACAAATACTGTACTGGCTTAAGATTGATGTACAATAATATGTATGTATATACATATACATATTATGAACACACTTGGGTTTTTTTCTGACAGTTTTTCTGATGTGGATTTCCTCTTGCTCTTTATATATATTGTGTTTTTTTCACGCACACAGCCAGTTATGAACAAAGAAATGTTAAATGACGTTTGATTTTTTTGTCATTGTTATAGACCACACAATATAACCCACATCGAGAATAAATTAAACCGTAATTATAATAGTAGCTTTAGCATCTGATTTAAAAGCATGTCTTTTGGGCTGACAAGGCGGCTCAGGGGGCAAAGCACTTGCCACACAAGCCTGAAGACCCCAGAACCCACATAAATGGAAAAGTGACTTCACAAGTGTCCTCTGATCTCTACATAAGTCATGGCACATGTGCATATATGTCCTCCTGTCCATACACATCATAATGATGATGATGGATATTTTTAAAGTGTATCTCTATTACGTCATAGATTTAATAGTGAGCATTGAAACACAGTATGGACTAAAATTATTACCATTTGCTTTCTCACAATGCTAAGAAA